CTAATACCTTCTCCCGGGTTAACAGAATTCCTTACTCGGATTTCTGGTTCGCAGACTGTAACAATGTCATATTTTTCCTCGGTTCGGGATCAAAACTGGTGACTTGGGACACCCTTAATTTCCCAGGTGGCGACTTTGAATAATTAATAATTAAATCCCGTTCCGATTGTCCTTTAAGTGAAAAAACTCCCTTATATTTATGTCCTTACGGGGTATAGGTGAAAAAGGAGGTGTGACAGTTATATGATAATGAACTTTTTAACAGCTGTATAGTTTCAAACTTCTCTAGGGGGGATCAATCTCCCATGGCAATTAGGTGAGATGGTATTGGAGAATATTCCAATTTATCTTAATTCAAACTAGTACTTAGAAAGCTTGCTTTATCCCAAAAAATGTAATGGTAACAATTGTGTTTGAGCTCAAGAACAGTCATAAATTTTTCTCCCAACCTTTTCAAGATGGGACTTGTTTACTTCCATATTTTGGTATCTCCCCTTGAGGAAATAAATCTTTGCTTATGGATGTTTGACTGAAAGCATTTTTCTGCACTCGCTATATGCTTTAATTTATTGTGTCTCCAAGGAGAAGATAATGACCACACCTAGGAAAGAAAAGAAAAGAGAATCTCGCCGACAGGAAAAGGCTGAAAAAGCAGCTCTTCTCGATAAAGTAAGTTTAAGCTTGTAATTCTTTCTCTTGTTCGGGGTAGAGAATTTTTTTTCCTTAATTTGGTAGGTCATCTGGCTATTTCCTTTACAAGTCATGCCATTTGTACCNAAGTTTAAGCTTGTAATTCTTTCTCTTGTTCGGGGTAGAGCATTTTTTTCCTTAATTTGGTAGGTCATCGGCTATTTCCTTTACAAGTCATGCCATTTGTACTCTGCAGAGCATTGAGAAGGAACTGCTGGAACGCCTTTCTAAAGGAGTGTATGGTGATATATACAATTATCCTGAGCGGAAGTATCTAGAGATTCTTGGTAGGAAAGCAATGCAGTTGGTTAGTGAAGAAGAAGATGAGGAGGTCTTGATCAAAACCCCTGTTATGTTGTCTCTTAAATATTCTCGTTTTTCTAGTTTCCCTTTCTTCTCTTGGTTGCTACCTCCCCCACCACCCTCCCCCTTGTTTTTGGGGGTTTGGGTGGGTTGTGCCAGCTTGGAGCCTGGGACTACCCTCCTCTGGCAAAGCCTTTCTAAGTAAATTGGTTAACTTCGGCTGATACATTTAGATGAGTCGTTTATTCATTCTGCTGTTAATGATTGAAATAAGCAGGAACATGAAGTGGAATATGTTGAAGGCTATGATGATCTTGAAAAGGAAGATGATATGGAAGATTTTGATGGTCTTGGAATTAGAGACAGTGGCTTGGATGATGATACCGGTAAAGTTCTTAATGGATGTGCTCATCCTATTCCCAGTGTTTCATTAGTGTAATAAATTGATGGCAACATCATCCTTTGAGTGAGGACGCAAATCACATATTTAACTCAGAATTTAGAGTCCCCATAGGTTTACCTAAACACCAGGAACAAACGAGTTTGCAGTTGTATTCTCATAATGTTTAGTTGGCATTCAGACAATATTAGGCTGAAGTTGAAAAAGGAGAGCACTTTAAGTTGAAAAGAGTACTATTTGGAACAAATTGAAGTAGAAGTTGCAAATTTATACCAGTCGCATCCTTTTGGTTTATTGGTGCTGATACATCCATTTTATCACTGGCTGATGCATTTGCTTATGTCCATTGTGGCGAGGAAGTGTCTTTCAAAGCCATAATTATTGAACTAATTGTAAATCCGTTTGACCATGTTGCAGTTGGAATGGACGGCGAGGACGAGGATGATGATGGAGAGGCTGTTGCAGTTCATCAGAAGAGGGATAGAAAGGATTCTGTTTTAGCTAGAAGAAGAGCAGAGAAAGATGAGCCAAGTGCAAATTCAAAGAAAAAGGCGAAAGTGCTTGTGGAGGTAAAAAAAAAATTATATGCTTTTTTACACCCTTCAATCTTTGTTAAAACCCACCTTTTGTCTTTATCTCATGTTGGTTGAGCATGAGGATACGGGTGAAAGACGGACAGCAGTACAATGAGAGATTGTATTCCGTAATTCTACAATTATCAAAATGCTTGCTTTAAGTGGCTGCGAAATTCAATTTGTAAGATATGTTTCTCAAAATATGCGCCAGACTTTGCTAGCTAGAATGAAATGGACAAATAAGCAAAACAGTCTTACTAATTTTTTTTGAAATTGGTAACATTTGTATTAGATATAAACATGACTACACTAATTCAGTGTAGTCATCCACAATTACAAAAGGGAGTACAAAGAGAGCCAAACTAAGTCTCCATAAAGCTCATAAGAGGTCTAAAACATCAAAAATACTTTCACTCTCTTCTAAGCACTCTTGTTTACACCAAAAATAAAAGAGCGTGAGGCAGCTCATTTTCAACTTTTGTATTGAACTATGTGTATCTTCAAAACATCTTAGGTTCCTTTCTTTCCAAATTGTCCACCATATACATGCAGGGACAATCTTCCATCTCTCCTTCTAGCCAGACTGCATTCCATCTCTTTTTCAACTTGTTAGGACTTCCCTGATTCTCCCTGGCATAACCCATTTAATTCCCCTCAGGTTGATGAATATCTTCCAAATTTGATCTGTGACACTGCAGTGCAAGAAAAGATGATTGACTGTCTCCTCCTGAGCTTTACATAAGTAACATCTAGACCCCAACTGATATCCTCTATTAGTGAGATTATCTTGGGTTAGGAAAACTTCTCTTGCTAGAATCTAGACAAAACATGACACTTTGTAAGGTATTTTAACTTTCCAGATCATTTTCCAAGGCCAACAACCAATCTGATTATTAGAATGGTTGTACTCCTTGTAAGCTGATCTAACAGAGAAAATTCCTCCTATCCCCCCTTACCAGAACAACCTATCTTCATTGTTGGTGGTCCCTCTAAACTGTTCCAGAGTATCATAGAAATCTGGCAGCCTCTCAATTTCCCAGTCATATAGAAATCTTCTAAATGTAAGCTTCCATCCTTGACCTGTCCAAAGTTCTCCAACAGAAGCTCTTTATTGCTGATTCAGATTGTAGATGTCCGGGAATAGTTGCTTTAAAGTTCTCTGTCCAAGCCATTTATCTTCCCAGAAGGATGTTTTCATTCCATTTCCAACTTTGAGACTGAAATTGTTTTTGAACCTTGGCCATGTGTTTCTGATAGACCTCCACAGACTCACCCCATAAGGAGTACAAACTATTTTTGTTGTCCAACTACTTTCCATCCCATACCTTTCTTGAATTACCTTCTTCCATAAAGATTGCTCTGTTGTGGAAAACCTCCATAACCACTTCATCATCAATGCTTGATTCTGAGTTTTCAAATTTCTAATCCCCATTCCCCTTTCTTTCTTGCTGGTAATAAGTACTTCCCACCTGACCAAATGAAACTTACTCTTATCACTGGTACCTTGCCATAGAAAGTTTCTTCTCAGTGCATCTATTCTTTTAACTACACTGGTCGGAACTAGAAATAAAGACATCATGTAAGTAGGCATGACATCCAAAACACTATTGATGAGGATTAGTCTACCTCTCAAAGATAGGTATTGGCTCTTCCAACTAACAAGTTTCTTTTCACATTTCTCAATTACTCCATTCCATATTACTTTTGACTTGCTTTTTGCTCCAAGTGGCATTCCCAGGTACACTGTTGGTAGAGCTCCTATCTTCCCCCCCAGTATTCTAGCCAAACTATGCATCTCCATTACTTCATTAACTGGATAGATGGAACTCTTGTTCCAGTTAATGTGTAGTCCAGATATAACTTTAAAAAGAATGAATACCATTCTCAGGAAAAACAACTGTTCTCTGCTAGCATCACAAAATACCAAAGTATCATATGCATATTGTAGATGGGTGATTTCCAAGTTGGTTGGCTCCCTAGAGTTTACCCTGAACCCCTTGATCCTATAATTTGCTTTGGCAGTTTTAAACAGATTGTTTAAACCTTCCATAGCCAGAATAAATAGAAAAGGGGAGATAGGGTCTCCCTGTCTCAAGCCTCTCTGAGAGGAAAAGAAACCAACAGGTGAACCATTGACTAAGATAGAGAATTTGACAGTACTAGTGCAGAATTTGATCCAACTAATCCATCTTTCATCAAAGCCCATCTTCGAAAGTATTCCCAACAAAAAGTTCCAGTTAAGGTGATCATATGCCTTTTCTATGTCCAGCTTGCACAGGATACCAGGTTCTTTGCTCTTCATTCTAGCATCTACACTCTCATTTGCAATGAGAATAGCATCCATTATTTGCCTACCTTTGATGAAGGCCATCTGTTGATTGTCCACCAACTTGCCCATTGCTTTCTTGATTTTTTCTGTTAGGATTTTTGAGATTATTTTGTAGACACTACTTATCAGACTGATAGATCTGAAATCTTTCAGTTCTTTAGCTCCAACTTTCTTAGGAATCAAAGCCACCAAAGTAGCATTGAAGCTTTTTTCAAAGACCCCAGTAACTTGAAAATTCTGGACTGCAGCTATCACACTTGACTAATCACTTCCCAGCATTGAATGTATAAAGCCATAGTATACCCATCTGGACCAGGAGCTTTGTCCCCTACACATGCTTTGACATTCTCCCAGATTTCAGGAGGCTCAAAAGGGCTCAATAACATCTGATTATCCTCTGAGCTAATAGTTTGGCAGTCCCTTAGGCTGCATTGTGGTCTCCACTCCTCAGCTTCTGTGTATAATTTTTAGTAGAAAGAGTATATCTCCCTCGTGATATCTTCAAGATTCTCCACAGTTTCGCCGTTGACTTGTAGCTTGTCAATATTGTTATATCTTTTATGGGCATTTGCAGTTTTGTGAAAGAACTTAGTATTTCTGTCACCTTCTTTCAACCATAAGGCCCTGGACCATTGCCTCCAAGCTATCTCCTCCTTCCGAGCATTTTCCTCAAATTCTAGCAGTAGAGAGGTTTTTTGTGTGTCTCTTCCTCATTCAAGCTCCTCAGTTCTTGTATATCCTCAATTTTAGCAAGTTGGTCCAATATATGTTGTTTCTGTATCTTTAGATTGCCTTAAATTGTCTTGCTCCATTCTTTGAGTTTTTCCTTCAAAGCTTTCAGCTTGAAAGCCAGGATGTAATCAGGTCTGCCAGTACATGAAAAGGACTCCCACCATGTTTTAATTCTATTCTTGAAACCTTCAGTCAGCAGCCACCAATTCTCGAATTTGAAAAAAGATTTCATTGGTTCCCAATTGCCACACTGAATCATGACAGGTGAATGGTCAGAGGTAACCCTGTGAAGGATTGACTGTTTAATGTTTCTAAATCTTTCATCCCATTCTTCAGAGACTAGAAACCTGTCCAGTCTAGCAGCACTGTTGAAATATGTTCCTTTCTTCCATGTGAACTTGCCTCCTAGTAGTTGCAGATCAACTAAACCCATGTCCTCAATGAAATCTGAGAATTCTGCCATTGATCTGGTATACCTAACACAATTTTTCTTCTCTGAGGGATATCAAACAGTGTTAATATCCCCACACACAACCCAAGGCCCAGTGAATAGACCCCTAGCAGCTCCTATCTCCCTCCATACTTCTTTTCTTTCAACCCTATCATTAGCATCATAAATACTGGTTAAATGCTAAACAAATTCTTGGGCTTTGCCACTGAACTTATATGTGATGGAATATCTACCTACACTACTGACTTCCCCTTCCCATGCCCTACTGTCGAACATAATGAGAATACCCCCTCTAGTTCCACTTGCTTCCAACTGGGCATATTTCACCCATCCATTTGCCCATAATTCTCTAACTATCTCCCTGATTTCCCCTTCTACCTTGGTTTCTTGAAAGCAATAGACTTCTGCCTTCCAGCTACTCACCATATTTTTTATCAACTCCCTCTTCCTAGCTCTGTTAAGTCCCCTAACATTCCAAGATACTATTTTAATCATCAATGACTATCGATGACAATATACCCTCCCCTGCTTATTGTGCCATTGCTTTTGAAACTGCTACCAAGATCTAAGTTTTTCAATTCTTTGCTTCCTTTCTTCTTTGGTGTGACAACTTCCATCATCAGTGATGTTGACTCCGTTAAATTCTTCCTCTTTCCATCAATTTTCATGAATAATTGGAGTGCTTCCTTTTCGCACCCTTTGAATTCCACCCCAAACTCTTTGCTCAGCCTAATGATATTTTGGTGCACCCAAATTGATGCCTGAAACTCTGGATCCTCTTCATTATCTAGAGAATTTAAGGGGAAAACTTCTTCAATTGTCCACTCTCCAAACTTTTTCTCCTCTTCCGGTTGCATGTGCTCCTTTTGCTACATGTCAGAGGTTGATTGTTCCTTGTTTTTGATTAATACCAAGGCCCTTTCCTTGTTCTCTTCGGTTTGAGCTTCCTCTTCGAGTGTATCATCTGAATTGTCGATCTCAATGGCCTTCTCTGCTTTCTTCGACTTTTTTTCCAAAGGGAGGAACACTGTATTTGCCTGGACCTCTATTAGGATGGGGTCTTTTAATTCCTCCAACTGGGCTATGATTTTTGGTCTTTTATTACAGAGGGTTATAGAATGGTCTATCAATCTTGGGCCCAGAGATTTATTTGGGCCCAAATCATTAGAACTTGAGTCTGTTCCTTTGTCACGTGAGACTGGCACACGTGTAGTATTTTTAAAAGCCTCTCCATTGTTCGATGTACCCACATGACCATAGTACAGTGGAGCTGTTACAATCTCCTTCCCCAGGTGGATACTAATATTGACCATTGGTTAATTTCTCCCTCTATTACCCTGCAGTCCTTGTCCTTCATCATCTTACTCCCTTGGACACCCCGCCGCTGTAATCGCTGTTACAGTCACCGGAATTTCACACCAGATGGGGATTTTGTATAAAAATCCGTCACTTTCCATCTGTATCTCTCTCGGAACCCTACTCCCATCTCCCTTCACTTCTATTCTTGCCCATCGGAGGTGGTTTTTGAGGTTTGTTTCCTCCTCTGTTTCTAGCCATCCCCCACATTGGTCTCCTATGGTACTGAGAACTTTATCTGACCATAGATTAACAGGTAAACCCAGTAGTCTTACCCATACCCAGTCTCGTTTCACCTTTTCCGGCCAA